AAAAAAAAAAAAAACTTTTTTTTTTCTTTTTTTTAACAAATCGTGAAAGGAGATGCTTAATCAGGAAATGTCTACTTAATGTCATTTTTAGGAGGTTAAACAAAATGTTATATTTTATATTCATTTGCTATAATGTTTCTCAAAACTGTTGACAAAATACAAAAAAGTACAGTTCCTATAACCTAAACCTAGCAATAAACATTAAACAAATATAGGCAAAAAATATTAAAATAAAAAATACCTGGCCAAAATATATTTTAAATATAAACTAATGTAAACAGCTCAGCTTAGAGAAATATATTTGTTATATATTTTTTTAAGTTGCTAACAAGTTGCTAAATAAGAGCAACAGCTGGATGCGAATTTACATGCTTGAGAAATATAACAACTGTTTAAAGCCATAAATTATACAGAAACTTGTTTGGAATAAAACAGAATTCAAGATTCAAACATCTTAGATATTAGGAACAGTAGAAATAGTTTGACTAAAATAATGACAGGACTCACAGAATGTTCAAAAGAATACTGTAATGTAGTGAATTGTAGAATATAATAAAGAATGCAATAAAGATTTTATTTTTACATTGTGCAAAACATTCAAAAGCAACAATAAAACACACTGTGATTTTGACAATATTGCCAATAATAAGAAATAACTAGTACTTAATTTTTTTTTAAGTCTTAATTTGTTAGGAACAGCTGAGCAGTTGTAACATTAAAATACACATTCATTTGTTACATTACAAGTACATATAAAGCAGTGCTTGTCCTAGTGTTAAAATGAACATACATGTAGAATCCCAAGAAGAGACATTTAAATATATATAGTGCCATGAAAAGGTTTTTTCCCCCTTCCTGTTTTTTTTATTTTTTGCATATTTGTCACACTTAAAAGATTCAGATCATCAAACCAATTTTAATATTACGCAAAGATAATGCAAGTAAATACAAAATGCAGTTTTTAAATGATAATTTCATTTATTAAGGGAAAAAAGCTGTCCAAACCTACCTGGCCCTACGTGAAAAATTATTTGCCCCTCCTCTTAAATCATGAAAGAACTGTGATTAACCACATTATTTTAGAAAGCTGAGTTAAATTTCACTAGCCACACGCAGGCCTGATTACTGCCAGACCTGTTGAATCAAGAAATCACTTAAATAGAACCTGTCTGACAAAGTGAAGCATGCTTAAAGAGCAACACATCATGCCGCGATCTAAAGGAATTCAAGAACAGATGAGAAACAAAATAGTTTACATGTATCAGTCTGGAAAGGGTTATGAAGCCATTTCTAAGGCTTTGGGACTCCAGAGACCCACGGTCAGAGCCATTATCCACAAATGGAGAAAACTTGGAACAGTGGTGAACCTTCCCAGGAGTGGCCGGCCTACCAAAATTACTCCAAGAGCGCAATGACGACTCATCCAGGAGGTCATAAAAGAACGCAGAACAACATCTAAAGAACTGCAGGTCTCACTTGCCTCAATTATGGTCATTGTTCACGATTCAACAATAAGAAAGAGACTGGGCAAAAACGGCATCCATGGGAGAGTTCTAAGGCAAAAGCCATTGCTGACCAAAAAGAACATAAAGGCTCGTCTCACATTTGACAAAAAATATCTTGATTATCCCCAAGACTTTTGGGCAAATATTCTGTGGACTGATGAGACAAAAGTTGAACTTTTTGGAAGGCGTGTGTCCCGTTACATCTGGCGTAAAACCAACACAGCATTTCATAAAAAGAACATCATACCAACAGTCAAACATGGTGGAGGTAGTGTGGTGGTCTGGGGCTGCTTTGCAGCTTCAGGACCTGGATGACTTGCCATAATTGATGGAACCATGAATTCTGCACTCTATCAGAAAATCCTGAAGGAGAATGTCCAACCATCAGTGTGTGACCTCATGCACTTTTGGGTTATGCAGCAGGACAATGATCCAAAACACACCAGCAAGTCCACCTTTGAATGGCTCAAGAAAAACAAAATGAAGGTTTTGGAGTGGCCAAGTCAAAGTCCAGACTTAAATCCGATTGAGATGCTGTGGCATGACCTTAAACAGTCCATTCATGCTCAAAAACCCTCCAATGTGGCTGAATGAAAACAATTCTGCAAAGAAGAGTGGGCCAAAATTCCTGTGAAAGACTCATTGCCAGTTATCACAAACACTTGATTGCAGTTGTTGCTGATTGTGGCAGCCATGGCGTATAACTCATGGTTCACCAAACTTTATTGCAAAGACTTGCACATTGTAAATATCTTTTATGACCTTCTCAACAAGTTCTGTTTTGTTTTTGTTTGTTTCACTTACAAAAATAGTACTGTGGTATTATCAGGGTTGTATCTACATGCTGCTTTGGAAACTAATTTGATCGTAATGCAATCATAAGCTTTCTCAAGAATCATCTCTTATTATTATCAATGTTTTTGCAGCATTTTTTTTTAAGTTTGAAGTAAGATTTTTAAAAAGAATTAATGAATGCTTTTATTCGGCAAGTATGCATTAAATTGATCAAAATTGATTGTTTATTTTAAATAAATGCCGTTCTTTTTAAACTCTTTTCATTAAAGAATGTATGACATTTTGCACAAAAATATTGAACAGCAAAAACGTTTTTCAACATTGATAATATTAAGAACCATTATTAATAATTGAGCACCAGTAACAAGTGATAACAACTGCGCACCAAATCAGAATATTAGAATGATTTCTGAAGGATCATGTGACACTGAAAACTGAAGTAATGGCTGCTGAAAATGCAATTTTGCCATCACGGGAATAAATTACATTTTTAAATGTATTAAATAGAAAACAGTTATTATACAGTGCCGTGAAAAGGTTTTTGCCCCCTTCCTGTTTTTTTTAATTTTTTGCATATTTGTCACACTTAAAAGATTCAGATCATCAAACCAATTTTAATATTACGCAAAGATAATGCAAGTAAATACAAAATGCAGTTTTTAAATGATAATTTCATTTATTAAGGGAAAAAAGCTGTCCAAACCTACCTGGCCCTACGTGAAAAATTATTTGCCCCTCCTCTTAAATCATGAAAGAACTGTGATTAACCACATTATTTTAGAAAGCTGAGTTAAATTTCACTAGCCACACGCAGGCCTGATTACTGCCAGACCTGTTGAATCAAGAAATCACTTAAATAGAACCTGTCTGACAAAGTGAAGCATGCTTAAAGAGCAACACATCATGCCGCGATCTAAAGAAATTCAAGAACAGATGAGAAACAAAATAGTTGACATGTATCAGTCTGGAAAGGGTTATGAAGCCATTTCTAAGGCTTTGGGACTCCAGCGAACCACGGTCAGAGCCATTATTCACAAATGGAGAAAGCTTGGAACAGTGGTGAACCTTCCCAGGAGTGGCCGGCCTACCAAAATTACTCCAAGAGCGCAACGACGACTCATCCAGGAGGTCATAAAAGAACCCAGAACAACATCTAAAGAACTGCAGGCCTCACTTGCCTCAATTAAGGTCAGTGTTCATGATTCAACAATAAGAAAGAGACTGGGCAAAAACGGCATCCATGGGAGAGTTCCAAGGCAAAAGCCATTGTTGACCAAAAAGAACACAAAGGCTTGTGTCACATTTGCCAAAAAATATCTTGTTTATCCCCAAGACTTTTGGGCAAATATTCTGTGGACTGATGAGACAAAAGTTGAACTTTTTGGAAGGTGTGTGTCCCGTTACATCTGGCGTAAAACCAACAGCCTAACATGGTGGTGGTAGTGTGATGGTCTGGGGCTGCTTTGCAGCTTCAGGACCTGGATGACTTGCCGTAATTGATGGAACCATGAATTCTGCTCTCTATCAGAAAATCCTGAAGGAGAATGTCCGGCCGTCAGTTTGTGACCTCAAGCTCAAGCGCACTTGGGTTATGCAGCAGGACAATGATCCCAAAACACCAGCAAGTCCACCTCGTAATGACTCAAGAAAAACAAATTTAAGGTTTTGGAATGGCCAAGTCAAAGTCCGGACTTAAATCCGATTGAGATGCTGTGGCATGACCTTAAACAGTCCATTCATGCTCGAAAACCCTCCAATGTGGCTGAGACGAAACAATTCTGCAAAGAAGACCTCCACAGCCCAGTTATTAGATTTAGGGGGCAATTACTTTTTCAAGTAGTGCCAGGTAGGTTTGGACAGCTTTTTTCCCTTAATCAATTAAATCATTATTTCAAAACTGCATTTTGTATTTATTTGGGTTATCTTTGTGTAATATTGAAATTTGTTTTTGTTTAAAATTTGATATAAAAATCTGAATCCAAATATGCAAAAAAAAATAAAAAACAGGAAGGGGGCAAAAACTTTTTCACACCTGTGTGTGTGTGTATATATATATATATAACTAAAAAGTAACTAAAACATCTCTGACACATAGTAGTCTATTTTGAAATATTTTTTAAAAAATGTACATAATTATATTTTCTGCATGGGAACACATTAATATATTTCAATTGTTGGATATACATAGCCAAGACCTGGGACAGGCCAAATTTATCATTATTAAAAGTGGTATACAGACATTTTACAGATTTATCCAGATTTGGATTTATTAATAAAGATTTGTTACTTCTAAAACTAGCTACTTTTTATGCTAGGTTAATTTTACATTGCATAATAATTTAAAAACAAAAAACATGAGAAATGTGCCTCTAACACTTCAAAAATGCCATGGGGCACCAAAAACATACACTGATCCGAGAGGATCTCTAGTTTTGGATTTGGATTTGGTTCAAGGATTCTTGTACAGGAATCCCATGTTACCCATGATCTCACCCTATTGGTCTGCTGAGGCTTTGCCATGACATCAATCAGCTCTTGAAGGCTTTCCAAGTGACTCCCGTCTCCATGGTAGTGTCCGCAGGTGCCCACTGGCAGTTTCAGACTCTGAGCGTTGAAAACGGCATGTCCCTGAGAGTGTGTTTGGTTAGCTAGCGGTTCGATCATGTAGCTCACGCTGTTATTGACTGTTATCATGCCCCTGGGGATTGAGAAGACAACATGTCAATCACGAGGATGCTTAAACATTGAGATTAAATGACAAAGGGGACAATCTGAGTTCTGGACAATTAAACAGGCTGACAGGATGGAAACCACTCATCAGGGTTTTGCACGGGAAGCAGAGTAGCTTCACCACACAAAATGATCTTTATCCCGGATGGGAGGGTGAAGAAAGAAGGGAATAAAACTGAACTGATAGCCAACTTGTGTTTATGCTGAACTGGGTTATTTAAGCAAAAACAGATTTCCTTGCTTCCTGGATACCCCAGTTTTCCCCAAACACAAGCATAGTTACACACACAATCCTTCACAGATGTGCAGTGATGGCCAACTATCAATAAAAATGCTTCCACTGCAGAAATGCAAAACAATAAGAACCATAAAAAGAAGCCAAAAACAAATATGATTAAGATTCATGGAAATGCTAATTGTCTATAAATGTTACAACTTGCTACTTTCTGTAGGAATGAGCATTTTGCAAAGTTGCAGAATGCTCAATGACATTAACAAGATTCTCGAATGTCAACTAAAACATGCTAAGATATCTGTTGACACGTCCATGATACATAAACATTGACAAAAATGCTTTCATTGTTCTCATTTAGTGGAATCATACACCGCAGCTGTAAAAATCATCTGGAAGGGTGTGTGTATACACTATAAAATGCTCTAGTTTTCCCCTTCTCCAGTCAAACCTCACTCACTCAAGCTGTGCTGGCTTAAATATTCATCGATCTGTTTGGATCAGTCAATGCATGTCTGTTCTTCTCCTGTTTGAGTCTCTGAAGGCATCGAAGCGCTCAACAGGACTCTATACATCTACCCTCGGCCCACTCAGAAACCCGGAGACCCGGCCATGCTACTACAGTGGACTCGCTGAACTCACTTCCGGGCTAATAAACTAGAACTTTTGCACAACGAAAACATGTCCTCATGATACAAAGTCATGGCACTAATGCTGACGTTTTTAGAGTCTGACAGCTTAGGAAATAGAACTAAAATGGTTTGTGAAAGTCCCAATTACTAAACAGGAGACAGTTCTGCATGATAATGCAAAATAACATTATAAAATATAAATCTGACAAGCAAAAGAAAATAAAATCGAAATAAAATAAAAATAAATGCAGTAAATAAAAATAAAATATAAAATGAAGAAGAAATACATGTAGTGTGTTTTAGGAGACTGTTTTCTTCTGAAAGGTATGTATAAATCAGAAAATGAAGCTATAGCTCAAAGTAGGCTATGAGTTATCATGATTTTACCCGGTTAAATTTCAAATGTGTAATTTCTGAACCACTAGTGGTACTAAGAGGAACTGCAAAAATAATTTTTAAAAGTTTTTTTTTTAATTACTTGATTGCAATCCTGTTGTCACTATAAATAATTACTTTGAGCTATAGAACATGCAATACAATAGAAAAAAAAAATACACACAATATGCATCATGTATAGTATGCAGATCTGCTGTGGTTCTTACCTGAGTCCAGCACAGGTGCTGATGACCAAACTTGACCCCTGGATCCCTTTGACTGACCCATGATAATAACAGTGATCCTGAAACCAAAACAACACTATATACATCATATACATTAGGTACAGTATATATATATATATATATATATCTCCTATACCTAACATCAGAGGAAAGGAAAAAAACAATGTGATCATGCGTAATGGATGTCATATTGTTTTATCTAATCTGGAATTACTTTCACAACATTAACATCACACATACTGAATCATTTTAATCACTGATAAAGGCAAAGCAAAACAAATGACTTTTTCTCTGTAGTGATTTAGAGCCTATTAGCTTACTGTGACAACACAGTTTATCATAAGATTACCATGACAATATGAGCTATTCATGTGTAATTTAGAAGTGAAAGATTGTGGAAAGGCTCCTGCACTCACCCTGTTGGAAGGCCTGGATAACTGACGGTCTCCATTCGGATTGTACCATATTTCCTGATATTCAGAGGAGAACAGCTCCCTTGGAGAAGAACATACAAAAAAAGACAAAATCGTTCAGTTATACATTTAATCAGCGCACAGCTGGTATATAACCAGATCCGTATCAGATGTAGGCTATTCAAAGAGAAGAAACTGAGAGGACTTGCTGGTTTTATTTCAAAGGATTTCTACACAGAATTTGGGTGACAGTGTGAGTTCCCTTTCCTTTAATGTCCTTGAGCTCATTAAAGATTCATCTAAAGTGGCTGAATGCTTTGAGAATCAGAGATACTCAGTAAATGTGCTTACAGTCTGTTTATTGTACTTATATACTCTTCTTTCTCCTCAAAGGTTGAAACAAGACCACTAAGTGCTAAACTGGCCCTAAATATTTAATTTCCCCTAACAAGACTAACAAACAATTTTCACAATGACTGGAAATAACACTCAGATCTTGTCTTATATATATACTTTGAAGACACAGTACTAATTATGATTATGATGATTTTCTTGTTCTGTACCCCCACATCTGAAATAAAAATTGACACCAGCAACAGATATGTCCATTTTTAACATGATACTGGATATTATTTAGCAATATTATTAATATCCTTAAAGTCACTTTTTAAATATTGTCACAACAAAACGGCACACATTACACAACTATTTTATTTGGAAAAATTCATGAAATTATTGACGAGTAATTATTTTAATATGTATATTTTTTATTTATTTCTGTTTTATTGGTTTAACAAGGCAAAATTAAATATTTTCCTTCTCAGGAAAGTAAAAATAGTAAATGGTAAGTGTAAAAATCTAATAATAATCAACATTTATTTACAACAAAGACAGCCAGTTTACATGCCACATTGTTTGTACTACCTTGTTTTAACCTTTATTTAAAAAAAGAGAAATTATGCATTATGTAGTACACCAACAAAATAGGAACTGACTACCACTAAAAATAAATTTTGATATGACAATTTGACTTGCTAATGAGTCTGTCTAAACCTAACCACACATTGTGGTCTCATTCTGTCTCTCACTCTCTCACACACAAACATATACATCTCAAGCATCTGTCCCTCTTTGTTTAAATTAGTTGGCCCAACAACACTTGCTGGACACAGTCCAGACCTACTGGGCCACAACCTCCATCACCCCCACGCAGGAACACCCACCAGGCAGCACAAGTCTGCAGGACCCTGGATCTCTGCCAGGGAGAAAAAGTGTCATGAACGCGAGTGCAAAGAGGCCCTCAGAGACATACCAGACATACACCCTTCTGATATACACTGGGTCTTTAAAATAATGCCACAAGTAGAAATACGATCACACAGGGTCCTTTGAGGTCGTATAATCATATGTCACAGCATCAACTTGCATATTAACAGTTTAATTCCCCTAATGCTAATATGAAGGCAATTCTGGATAGAAGCTATGTCAGTAGTGATTTAAACATTATCAGGTTTTTACAGTTACATACATTTCAACTAGATTTTTTTATTAAGAAACATCAGTGCAAATTTTGCTGCCATGAGTGTTTGTTAGGGTGTTTTTTCTTACACTGGTCATGCATATATGTACACAATAAACACAAATGCATATAGTTTGTACCTGAATAAATAAAAACAATAGTTAATATAAAACAATAATAGTTTTTGAAGAACTTGACCCATATGTTTTCTCAACTTCACTTTTAAATAATGGTTGCATATATATTTCTAAATGAGTAATTTTGAGTATTAGTATATTGCATTTGCTTTTTGACATAAAATAAATTGTGTAAAACCATTAAATTTGTTTGTCTCTCTAGTTTACCCTAATACATTGGTATGACTTGTCCTTTAAAATCTTAAAGTCGGCATGAAACAGAAGTTGCGATTGTCTTTTCTTCGCTACTGTGACGTATATCCGAGTGAAACGGCATCTGAAATGAGAGGTTGGGACTTGATTTCATCCTTCGGGAATTGATTGGATCGTTGGAAACTGGGGCGTTGCTAACAAAATGGAGGCAGATCTGAATGCCAGTTTGCAGTTAGTGGTGGGGGATTGCTGACGGAGCTGTCTTGAGTTTTGAAGTTGTAGCGTCTGGACCAATCAGACACACCATTTTCATTTGATTTAACCAATCAATTATTCATTAGATTAACAAACATTCACAGACCCCTCACCCAATAAACATGCTGGGTGCCAGGATGTACTGAGTCCTTATTTTTTCCGAATAATTCCTCTTTGCCACTCTGATCTCCTTTTCCAGTGTGTATTTAGCCTGTTTATACAAGACATTGTCCCCCTTCCTTTGAGCATCTTCTTTGGCCTGACGGAGCTGTCTGAGTTTTGCAGTGAACCATGGTTTGTCATTGTTGTAAGTTAAATGAGTCCTGGAATGCACATGTCTTCACAGAAACTGATATATGATGTTACAGTCTCTGTGAGCTCGTCCAGATCGGTGGCTGCAGCTTCAAAGATGCTCCAATCAGTGAGGTCAAAACAAGCTTGTAGATCCTGCTCTGCTTCATTAGTCCATCTTTTTACAGTCCTTAATACAGGTTTAGCTGATTTCAGTTTCTGCCTGTAGGTCGGTATAAGATGAACCAAACAGTGATCAGAGAGCCCCAAAGCTGCCCGTGGGACAGAGTGATATGCATCCTGGAGGCTGGGTATGTCTATATGTCAACAAACTATATTGTACCTCTGTGACTGTCAGAGAGCGTGTTTGTACGCCAGATGTGGAACTTTTAGCGGTTTCACTTCGTCCTTTCTATTTACCCCGTGAGTTTCCTCAACTTTTCATGACAACAGTGTACATTCATCCAAAGGCGGATTCTGTCTCTGCCTCCAGTACTATATTTGATGTAGTACAGAGATTGCAGTCGATCTCACCGGATGCACCTAACTTTGTTCTTGGCGATTTTAACCATGTTTCTCTTAAACAGACACTCAAAACTTTTGAGCAATATGTCTCCTGTCCAACCAGACGGGGTAAGACATTAGATCTCTTTATGGGTCTGTAAAGGATGCTTATAAATCTCTCCCGCTTCCTTCATTGGGCTCTGCTGATCATAATTGCATTCATTTACTGCCCATATACAAGACTATTTTAAAGAGAGAGAAAGCAAAGATCAAGGACATAAGTATATGGTCTGAAGAATCTGTGTCCTGTTTGCAGGAATGTTATAGCTGTACTGATTGGGACATTTTTAAACAGTCCTGTGGTAATGATGTGGACTCACTGGTGGATGTAACATGCTCATATATTGCTTTTTGCAGAGACATGATAATTCCCAGTAAGCGTGTTAAAATATATTCTAAATCTGTGAAGTCCCAAAAACATAAAAACAACTGCGGAGCACGCCACGGAGGCAGCCATCGTTTTTGATTAAAGATTATGAGGGCAAAATGAATTTTAAAAAAAATGAAGTGCACGGATAAATTATTTATAATAAACTACATTATTCCATAAAAAAATAAGAATTTTCCATTTTGATTTCATGGTGACTAAGCATATGCCCTAAATCACATGCCTTTCTAGAAATGACAAGGCAACTCCAAAAAGTAACTATTAGCCATAAATATTCCTCTCTTTTCTTAATTTTAAATCATTGTAAATAACACACTGACTGTTGTATCAATATATACAGAACATTAAAATATTTGTTACTTTTTAAAAATACATTTTTATATATCTTTTGAAATTATGCCTGAATGTTAATCTTCTGCTACCATATTTTCCCTTCCTAGCATTAGCTTTCATTTGTTTAAAATAATATTTGGTCAGTTTACAGAATATTTGGTCAGTATTATGATGTTATACTAGTCTTAGCATGACCAGTGTGTTTTTCTGATAGACATTTTTTCCCTCGGTTAAAGGTAGAGTATGTAATTTTTCAAAAACACTTTAGAAAACTGATTCGGGCCGAATAGCAAAACAAACTTGTAGCCAATCAGCAATAAGGGGCGTGTCTACTCGTGATGTGGAGGAGAGAGCTTTCAGTGCATGGGACGGACATTAGCCGAGCCGAGCGACAGAAAGATAGAGATGGCGGATAAAAAACAAAAGAGGAAAACGTCTGCGGAAAGATAAGGCAAGAAGTAGGACCCGTGTAAAATATTGGATCAGCTTTCCAGTGCTGGAGAGAACTCAAGGAGCGGAGGCCTACGATCGGACGCCAAGGTTGCTTTGTTTCTTCTCAATAGGTGAGTAACACAGTTTTCTGTCTGGGATTTGTTGCGCCGCGCCGCGCCGCTCACGTCCGGTGTAACATTGGTTTTGCTTTGTTTCACAGAACTAATCGTTGCCTGGGTTGCGTACGTATATGTGGGGCGGAGCTATCAAAATAGGGGCAAGACCCTTTTGGGGTAGGGGCGTGTTTGTTTTGGTGATTTCAAATATCAACATTGGCTACCAGAAATCGCTTACCCTGCCTTTAAGTCTAAAAAAAAAAAAAAGACATTGATTTATCAGCTAGGATTACCGTTGTGTTCACTTTGTGTGGTTTTTGAAGCCTCAACTTCCTGTACACTTGCATTATATGAACTCACAGAGATGGATTATTTTTCTACAAATCTTTGTTTGTGTTTATCTGAAGAAAGAAAGCCATATACATCTGGGACAGGTAAGTAAATGATAAGAGAATTTTAATTTTTGGCTGGAGTATGAGAGGAAACAGACCCAATTTTAATACTAACATACTAAATGATTGATATTTACAAAATAAATGCCTCTCCTGTTTGATTTTAACATAATATATGCAAATATATGCAAAATACATGCAAGCATGAGCTCCTTAGGCTTGAGAGCAAAGCTGACAGATATTCAACAAGAAGAATCAAGACACTTATGCATGACATTTTTGACCCTGTAATCAAATGCATTAGCACTGACATCTAATTAAGCATAGGAACTTAAGAGGGTGACATTTAATTAACAGTCTTCATTTTGAAAAGAAAAGTGTGCACTGACCACCTTTTTAACAGACAACAACAAACTGAGACAACATCTACTGGAGGCCCAAGTCAGTTTTTGATGGACAAATA